CTTTGCGAGCGCGCGGTCGCGGCGCGGTTTCGGCGCTAGAGCATCATAATCAACCACCGCGACCAGCGAGTAGCATCTTAAGTTGACTACTATGAACTCAACATGGGAATATCACCACACTATACTCACAAAAGCATCGAATCTTGTACAATAATGTTTATGATGTGGCGTCTCCCACTAAATTTCCGTTGAACTGGAGGTAAAGTCGAGTAAGGAGGAACAAACGTCTCCTTATCATGTTTAGGCGCCTCGCCCCATCAACGCTCGGAACGCTGTGGACGCTATTGGTCGCTGGTGGACGCTGCCGCAAAGAACGAATGCAGCCTAACAGTAGTGTATAATTACAGGGGCGTATGCATAGCACCACTGTTGCTTGTAGCCTAGAAAAGTGTGCAGGCTCACCTTCATACCAGAATGTCTCATAGATCAACTTGTAGAAGTTGCTGAGGTAGAACGATTCCCGGACGAGAAATCTCGGGTCAAGACCCTCCTTGATATGCAGGCAGCCAATAATCGCCAGAGTCAAATAGATTATATACAGTAGAACAGCACATACCTGAAAAAGAATGCAAGATCAAATTCCGATTCATGGGTGTGGTTCTACTGGGAACGAACCTGTGTGCTACGTTCGAGGAGGAAAGGTCCGATGATTTCACGGAACAACTTGTTCACAAACGTTTCTTCGTGCGGCACCTCTTCAGAATTCTGGAAATGTCACTTTATGTAAACATCATACACATCATACCCTGGAGAGGAGGCGTAGCCGTGTACATCCCTTGAGCACAGCACAAGTAACCTTTATCACTCTGTCTTGTTCTTAACAGAATGATCCAGAACAGCTTCAAACCGGTAACATTTCACAGAAAGCACAGCCGTCATCACGTTTGAATGGGGTACGCAGCTGTCCCATCCCATGCCAGGGAACTGGGGCGTAGGTGTACACAACCTAATAAACCTGAGTTTCAGTACTTTGAATAATTGTGCGTGGAGTGAGACCCTGTTAGCAATCGCAGACGTCGAACCACTTTTGCGGCTAGGGGACGAGTGATGGGAGCACAGAGATTGTCATTCCAGTATTCAGGAGAGGGCTCCAAAAAGACACTTTTCTTCTGTAAAGTTCTGTAATTCCTTTCTTCTGATAAAGTGTAACTTATGCAGCTTTCTTTCAAGGCGATATAAGTTAAACTTTATCGAATTCTGATTGGACATTTCCACTATCAAAATCAACAATACATTGTCATCGACAGATTCTGCCACGCGACCGTGATTCGGTGCCTGAGTTCAGCGAGGTCGTTGATTTCTCCGCCACTGTAGACCACCCTGTTGAGCTCCGCTTTAGGTCAGGTGACACACTTGGATATTCTAATTTCTTCAGGTCCTCAACTCCCTTCGAGTCAATGTGCTGGCACCTTAATCCTGTATTAGGTTGTCCGGAAAGTTTTGAGAAAATTTCACACTTTAGTTTGAAGAACTGTAGCAAGCGAATGGCCTAACCCAAAGGCGTATATGAAGTGCTATGAGAAAGAGAAATGTTTGTAGATCAATCCAATACTAGTTAGTCTTATTCCCCACGGTTGGTATGACTTACACATTACCTGAAAAATGTACGAACGCACACGACTCCCAACGCCTTCTACTTCATCTTCACCGTTCTGGCTTCTCTGGCGGTCAAATCGGGAATGAGGAACCGTCACCGATGCTGGATAAAACGCGCTTCAAAACTATCTGCAGCAGGAGATCAATCGGTCTCTTACGTGGAAGTTAAGCTTGGATATTGCGTACGCCTCCGCATGTTCGGTACTCACTTCATTCCAACTCCACAGCGCAAAGAATCCGCCGAAAAGTGTAAGGCGAACTGGATGGACGAATGGTCGTAGTGTAAGTATAAACCCCCTATCTCTCATTGTTGTCGATAGGGCCTTAAATGACCTGGTTGCAGATTCTCAAAACTTTTGCGGACACGCCTGAATGAGCAGTGACGAAGGTTCCCAAGACGGTTTAGGCGACGACATGAAGGCAGAATATTCTGTTCGATGTAACAGTCAGCGTTTACTTTCAGTCCTGGGTCCACGAGAGAAAATATCGGTCTTCCCATTTGAGGAACCTTGCATACCATGAGAGCGCCACGCGCGGAGTTGGCGACGTGGCAGAGAAGATGAGTATCTGAGACCATCGCTGGACGGTTGTCGGAGAGCTGCTCGATGTTGGAGGTCCTCCAGATCAAGAGTGCTGACCCCCAGGTCAAGAGTGCTGGTCTCCAGGTAGCTGTCCATGGGTGACTCCATACAAGAAGTTTCGCAGCTGTTTGGAGGTGACGTGAATTCCATAGGCCTTCTTCAGTTCGGCTGCGATTGCAGATGGCTTCATATTTTGGTGTATGAAGGTGATGGACGAGAGCCTGCTCCTGCTTATCGAGGAACATCTTGGGTATCTTCCGCCCTGGTACTCGTATCCACGTCTTCTGTCTGGGCTGCGTAAACTTTACTGATATGTGACTCGGCCAAAGTGTCTTTTTTTGTCTCCCCTTGTAGATGCTACCCACTAATAACTCCACCCAGAAGTAAGACCATTCGATAGTGCACTGAACTATTCCTCATCTTTATGATGTTTAGTCTTTCATCCCTGATCTTTTGTCCACCCTTTCAGTGCCTCTGCTCCTCTCGCTTCGTCGAATCGTCGTCTACTGCCCGAAATCAACTTCACATGGAGGGCGCTCTCTTCACGAGAACCTTTCACAGTTTTGTCCTCTTTTTCCTTCAGCGGTAATAGCACCTGTGAATTCCATCGAGCCCTATAGCTCTTCACTTGGAACGGGGCCACAGAGGCACAGGCACTGTTGTCGAAGGACATTTCGCCTGCATAGTCACCAGCAGAACGCAGTCTATGCACAACGTGATGCACCCATTGCCACCCTGGATGAGCTTTAACTGATTCTATTCATCAAGTGAAAGGTTCAGTCAAACTAGTGATGTGGGACGGACAGCGTCGCTCACGATATAGCTCGCTTCTAAAAGTACTCTCCGGAAATTTCCTTCGACCTCTTGAAATACTATTCAAGTGGTCAGCGGTTACAGCATTGACAACACATAGCAACAGTTGTGAATTGGGGTGTAGAAAAGTCGTGTGTCACTAAGTAAGCCAAGAAAAACCATACCTTTTCATGGTGTTCCAGCTTGGTTTCGAGCTTCCTCAACGCCCCACTCAACTTGGATTTCCATCCCTTGCCTTCGCTCAGTGGTTCTGAATGGTAAGACTTTCACTCGGATTCTTCTCAGTTTAAATATTAGGTGTTCAAGACAATTTCTCATCCCCTGGTTTGGTTCTTTGGAAAAATTATATGAATGAATCCATATTTGCCTACCACACGGTATCCCACGACTTGCGCATCACTTGACATAAACATCACTTCAGGATAAACTGTCGCCAACGAAATATTAAGGCAGTAAGACAGCGAACTGTTTTAGGGTTAGGGAAAGTGCGCACCACAAAACAGGTTGGAAAGCTTCCACTGTTGAACAATAGCTTAATAATCGGTTTTAATAGTCCAAGTTTGGCTCCAAGCTCGAGGTTTTAATATTTATATGGACCTCGTCAACAACGAAGAGAGTAATTGAAAAACTTAAGAAGAATTTATCAGTTGGGGCGCTAAACACACAGAGCGCTCTAGAACAAGCCCTTAAACGATAAATGACTTCTATAAATATGGGGATTCTCAAGTTTCTGCCAGATGTTGTACGAGACGAAATCAAATATCGTTCTAGCAAAAATTTTTTGCCGTTCTGCTAATGGAGACCCATCCACAGAATCTTCCCACTTCTTATCACGCAGAAGCGGTAATCCTGATGCGGGGTATGTATGATCCTAGCTAATGTTGTGGGCACATTGGTTCGTGCTCACAGCTTTCATTGAGCCCGGTTTGAGAGAAGGAGGATTGTCGCTCACATTAGTCGGTTTTCTAGTCGCATGAGCAACTGTGTGCATAAGTGCACCCCACCTTTCTGGTGGCCTAAGCTGCTTGCTGTTCAAGAAGCAAGAAGAACTGCGCAGGTGTAGTTGAAGTCAGTAAAAGGCTGTACATGGCCCCATTCGGATTGGGGTCTGTCTCGAGGAATACGGCAGTTGAAGAGTCGTCCATAGGAATAAACTCATTGTTAGAGGGCTGATGAAGAGCGCTATAGCGCCCGCAGGGCAGCACAAGGTTGCAATTCCTCGACTTGCTATCGAAAACAGTTCGACGGACTAGGCCGAATTGCGGTATCAGCCCATAAAAATAATTCGCTTTGTTTGTTTGTTTGTTTGTTTGTAAGTTTGTTTGTCTGTCCGGAAATTCGGTTCGACCTGAAGAACGACTTAGAGAGGTCGGGTCAAGGTGGGGATGGGTAGAGCATGGGACAAGAAATAAAAAGCACACTTGAATATGGCAAGCCCCGCACAGTGGGCGGAGCACTCGCCGAAGGTTTGGGGTTCCGCACAAAATGTTGCATAATTCGTGGAGCAGCTTAAAGATTTTGGGGAAAAAGGACTAGGTTGTAAGAGAGTCGCCAGACTAAACTGTGGGAGTCACCTAATGGCGGGGTATATCAAGTGGCGGTGCTCTCGCATAATTCAGTGACCCCGTTGCGGCGAGTGTTTGAGTCGCAAAAACTCGAGTGAGATGTAATATCCGGGAACATAGGCAAGCTCAAAAGTAGCTGTTGAAACCCCACAGTGGGAGAGCTTGCCTAATCGCGGTATTTCATTTAAAAGTTTGTAGCTGGTTTAAAACATCAGATAATCGGATAAAGTGGATTATGGTTCAGCGTCGTCGGTTAAGATTGGGGGCAGAAAATTGTGGGCGGAGATGCTCGAGGTGGGCGGAGGCCAGACAAAAGTGTCTGTAAAGTCCAGAAACTCAGAACCGGGAAAAAAGTTGGTTAAGGTCACGAGGTCGCACGGTAAGGATTGTGGGGCAAAAACACATGTGAGCGGGCCGCTTCGAGGCGGAGCCAGACAAAAGGTCTGTAAAACGGTTCCAGAGCACTCCGAAGACCGGAAAAAGTGGACTAAGGTCAGCAGAGGGTCGCCGGTGAGGATTGTGGGGCAAAACATTGTGGGCGGGGCCTGCTCGCTTTTACAGATTCTTCGTCTGGATCCGAGGATGGCGGAGCGCAGCAGAATCTGTAAAATAGTTGAGTACTTCGACACGGGAAAAAGTGAGTAGAGAGAAAGGCGGATATAGTTGAGTTAGAAATGACTGTGAAGGAAAACAGCGCGCGACGCGCTGTCCGGCGCAGCCGAGCCGTAATCAGAAGGAGGCGCGCGGATAGGGCGACCACTGGTTTAACTATATTTTTGCCATTTTTTTTTCTTCAATGCACGTTATCAAAGTTTTCGCTTAATTTAAAGCAAAGAAAATGAGTCGGTTGCTTTTGCATAAATAAGAGAAATGTAATGATTTAGCAAGTAGTACTGTTTGCGATGGATATCACTCAAGGAGGAAGCTGGGGCAGTACGTCGTCCGGGCGTCTTCGTGGCGAGATAGAACTAGAAGCCGTTTCTTTCCACATAAGAGAAAACGATGAGTACCATATAAGTTGAGGACAAATTTGTCACCACTTTATAAACCATCTAATGTCGCTTGATTTTTTGCGCTCCATGACGGTACTATTCATAAATATATAAATTAATATAACTATTTGGCTTTTACGATTGGGAAATAAGTTTCTGTCGGCAGCGGTGACAGGGTATCTGCTTTCATGGGTCGATCCTGATACCTATACGTATACAATTGATACTGCAACAGCGCAGTGGGTGTCTTGTTGCAGGGGATGTTACGAAGCGCCCAACTTCTTTTCAGCTTACTTCGTTTTTTAGGCGACAACTCTTGTGAATCGAGTATCATTTTTGGGGTTTCTTTTCAAAACGACTCCCCCCGGGAATAAAGCTTCCATGAATTATGGTTGAAGATGCGCTATTATATTCGATTACGTTTAAGGATCCTTAGTTTCGCCCCGACACCTTAATTTTCAGCGATATCTAGTAACGATAAGCCATTTTGTGGTAGTCCTCCTGCGAACAGGTTAATTTTCATTTTGCCAGGAACGATGGATGAGAAGCTAAATTTCAATGCAAGCACTTTTAGTGCGGCGAGTTTGCCAAGGTTATCCAACGGGCACTCACCTGAGATTTTCTCTGAGAATGACGCTTTCTTACTCTGCTGTGATTTCCTGGATACCGAACCAGCCATGAAGAATAGCTTCCACTTGGACACTGAAATGGAAACGTTAGCCGAATATTGAGGGCCTCATAACTACAGTCGCTGATCACGACTGAATGATCTGGTTTTCATGGGCGAGCATAAGAGAGCGCCTCCATTTACATGCAGGGAGGTCAACGAGATCAGCTCATTCCTGTATTGCACTAGCAAAACATTTCGCGCAGAGTGATGGAGCAGTAGACACTCCGGGAATTTATTCGTACCAGTCGGCTTCAACCGATGACCACTCGCTGATCTGATCGAACTACTTTTTTCCGGTGTCTGGAGTGTTCTGGAACCGTTTTAGGATTTTTTCAATTTGGCTCCGCCCACCTCGCCGCACGCTCCGCCCACAAGGGTATGCCTCGCACTTGTGAACCGATGACCCCTCGCTGATCTCAAACTACTTTTTCCCGGTGTCTGGAGTGTTCTGGAACCGTTTTGCGAATTTTTCAAACTTGGCTCCACCCACCTCGGGCACGCTCCGCCCACAACGGGAGTGCCTCGCACATTCCGACATGTGATCACTTGGGGACCATAATCCACTTTTTTGCGCCATCTGTAGTGCTTTAGGACCAAACTACGATTTTTTAAACTGGTACCTCGTGTTCAAATGCACGCCCCGCCCACTGTGGGCGGGCCTCAGCACGCCACAAACATGGTGGACTCTTGCCAGATGTTCATCTTCGTCATGGACTTTTCTGCGATCTCTGATCTATTTCGGGAACCGAGTTACCGATCTTTGTGGGAAGCACCGCCCATCTCAAGTACACCCCGCCCATTTCGGGTGTGTCTCCTCCATTTGCTCTGCCAACCCATGCTAACCTTATTCCACTTTTTCCCGTCTCCGAGGTGCTTTGTAGCCAAATTATGGCTTTTTTCAGTGACACGGGAAGCGCCGCCCATCTCAAGTACCCCGCTCACCTCGGGTACTGTTAAGCGTGTCTTGGAAAACTCCCGAGTTCACCCATAGGAGGAATATGAGTTACGTACTGTTTCTAACGAAAAACCATCGCGAAAACCTAATTGGCTTTGCTCGAAGATGTTGCCCAATGGGGTGAGGTTGGCTTTTGGCTGCGGTGCCCTACATGGAGCTTATAAATGAATTGTTCTTCCTCAGATCTTGAAAGGCACGATGCACATACTGAATAAACAAAAAATAACATGCTGAGGTTACAAGACGAGAGAAGCCAAGAATATTTGTTTTGTTGTTATTTTTGTTTGTTTCATGACACGCTCACCCGATGCGTTCGGT